CGGGGGCGCTCCTCCTCCATGGGCTGGATAAGTGCCCTTGGCAGGCCGGAAGTGGCCCGCGGACCGTAGTTTGAGGAGTCCTGGTCTGGAGGCTTGTTGTTGTGCCTTTTGTGGGTAGTCACCCTGTTCCCTCCCGACATCCTCGTTGCCTTGGTACTATAAGAGGGTTTCACAAGACCAGTCGCTCTCATTGCAACCGTGTAGTTACGGTGAGGCCGTGGACCAAATTTTAGTTCTTGAGAACCACTGGTGGTCCACGGACCACAGGTTGGAAACCACTGCTCTACATGTACAAAGTGATGAGTTCAATTTCACAAAATATGGGGCAGAAATATTTTTTTCCAGCAAGTGATGACTGCCATGGACATTCTTGGCTCCTCAACAATTGTACAAAAATAACACAAATAACCTAACAATATTGAAGCCCCTTTACTGCCTTCAGGGGAATGAATATTATTGTAAGTAACATTTTTGGATTTTTCTGTAAAGAAAAAACAGAAGTGGGTGTGGGGAAGGTCACCCTGCCAAGCGAGCAGTTCAAGGAGTTGCATACCTACGGATTAGAGGGCATGTTTTGAGAAGCTGAGCACAAATTGCATTTGTAATGTTTCCTAAGACAGTTTCAATAACCATATAAGGAATTCTTTGCCTGCTGGAAGCTATATTTTAGGACACATCTCTTCTTTCTTCAGTGTCATTCCCTTCCAAGTACACTGTATTTTAAACATATGATTAGTTGTGCTTCAAGTAATTTTTCCTTGAATTTAATCTGATGCAATATAGTTTTGTATTCTTTACATACATACAATGATATTACAGTGTATTTATGGTTTTGATTTAAAGGCTGGTGTCTTCAATCGTGTATACATCATTTGCGTGCATACATGTTGTTCAGTGCTTGGGACTCTCTTGGAAGGATGATGAATAAAACATCAGCTGGCAAGCTGGACTTCAAATAACAATTACTCCTTATTGATTTAATCCTTTTAATAGTTTTGTTTTATCATCTTGACCATCTCTTTAATAAAAAAACTCTGTAGTGTTCACATCCTTTGTCTAGGATTAAAGGGACCCTGATATATGCTTAAATTATTGTATGTTAAAACTATTCTATTCATCTAGACTTGCAAGATTAATTAGAATCATAGACTCATAGAGCTGGACCATCCAGTCCAACCTCCTGCCAAGAAGCAGGAAAATTGCATTCAAAGCACTGTCGACAGATGGCCATCCAGCCTCTGTTTGAAAGCTTCCAAAGAAGGAACCTCTACTATACTCTGGGACAGAGAGTTCCACTGCTGAACAGCTCTCACAGTCAGGAAGTTCTTCCTAATGTTCAGATGGAATCTCCTTTCTTGTGGTTTGAAGCCATTGTTCCGTGTGCTAGTCTACAGGGCAGCAGAAAACAAGTTCGCTCCCTCCTCCCTATGACTTCCTCTCACGTATTTATACATGGCTATCATGTCTCCTCTCAGCCTTCTCTTCTTCATGCCCAGCTCTTTAAGCCACTCCTCATAGGGCTTGTTCTCCAGACCCATAATCATTTTAGCCGCCCTCCTCTGGACACATTCCAGCTTGTCAATATCTCTCTTCAATTGTGGTGCCCAGAATTGGAGACAGTATTCCAGATGTGGTCTAACCAAGGCAGAAGAGAGGGGTAGCATGACTTCCCTGGATCTAGACACTATACTCCTATTTATGCAAGCCAAAATCCCATTGGGATTTTTTGGCGCCACATCACATTGTTGGCTCATGTTTAACTTCTTGTCCATGAGGACTCCTTTAACAGTATATGATTTTTGTTGGAGCTATTTGGCACAATATTTTCTGTGTTAGATTTAATGGATTGATTTTTCACATTTGACTACAGTCCACTGTATGGGGAACCAGTTCAAATGGTAAGGAAATTGGAAATGTGCTTAAATATTTCAGAATATTTAAATATTTTTCTGAAACTTCACAGGCATGGAATCTGCTGGCATTCATGAAACCACCTATAACAGCATTATGAAGTGTGACATTGATATCAGAAAGGATCTCTATGCAAACAATGTCCTATCTGGTGGAACCACTATGTACCCTGGTATTGCAGACCGGATGCAAAAGGAGATAACCGCCCTGGCACCCAGCACAATGAAAATCAAGGTATTGTATTATTGACAATTGTCTAATTCATAACAACAAAGAAAACTAACTGTATATGATGCCATATTTTAATTTAACTAGGCAGCTTAGTTGTTTTAGCACTTTCCGAAAACTCTTGGTGAAGAAAATCTTAAAGCACATAAAAATGTTCCTGCTAATTGAGGGCACATACACAACTTAATTGTGGCAGTTTAATTGCCTTGGCCTCATCCTATGGAATCCTGTGATCTTCAGTTTAGGGAGGGATATTCAGATTATGCTACCAGCATTGATGTTGTAGTTAAGGGGAGTGCAGACAGTATGACCTCCTTATGCACAGATTTAAAATCCAGTTTCACTTGCCATGTTTCAAAAATATTCCCCTCCAAAAGTGTTTGTGGGCCTCTTTATCTCCTATAGTATGATTCCATGGTTTGTTTCCAGCACAAGTTAATTATTGTCATTAGTTTCAGGCATCTATGGGAGGTCTTGAAATTATCTCCCATGGATATGGGGAGTTCTACTGTAGAACCTGCTGGCACATAAGTAGTTACAAATAGGTTTGGGACTGGATCAGTTTGACCGAAAGCAGGCCCATAGCCAGGATTTCGATTCGGGGGGGGGCTGAGTT